CAAAAAATAAAAGTAAAAACCTTTCATTTAAATAATGAGTTATATTGTCCAATGAATCTGCATTTTCTTGGAGTGTCTTTGTTCCTCCTCTCTCTCTCCTGTCACAGTCTCCAACATTTTCTAATTTCTTCTCGCTCTTCCTTCCTTTCCCTCTAATCGTACCCTCTGGGGTATATGAAAATGACACTCTCAGCACTGCCCAACAGGGCCAAGGGCTTAAGGTAGGTGTTCAATAAATACTCCTTAAGTTGATGAATAATAAATCAATGGTTAAAATAGTTTTAATTTTTATGATTAAGTAACATAAGGTAATCAAAATAAAAAAATAAAGAATGTGCTATTTCAGTTTGCTTTCCTGACGTACGTTTTCGTTTTGTACTGGTCATGCTACATGCTCTCCCATTGAGTAACTCTCCCCGTAGCGGACACCGTGCCTTTCCCAGGACCTAGCTAGGGCGCGGACCTGGCGCCATTTGCTTTTGGGCTCACGGGCCTTGCATCTCAATTCCATTGCTTTTAAACAACCCGACTAAGCAGCTCACTGGGCATGGTAATAAATGGACCAATGTGCTTGACCAATCCACACAACGTTTTAGTAAAGCATTGTGTATTTTAAATGTCGGACTTTAAAAGGAATTTGGAGAAACTAGAACATAGAAAGTTCAAAAGCATAAAAAAATGCAGTACATGCTAGAATATAGGTCTGGAGGGATATTGGTGCTAAGATAATGTGTGTATAAAAGTATATATGTTATATATATTTTATTTTTAGAGAAGTTTTTATTTTACAGCAAAATTAAGTGGGAATTCCAGAGAGTTCTTGTATACCCATCTCTCTCCACACCCACAGCCTCCCTCACAGTCAACATCCCCCACCAGAGTGGTGCACTTATTACAATGGATGAACCAACATTGACACATCACAATCATTTAAAGTCCATTGTTTACATTAGGCATCATTCTTGGTGTTATAAACTGCATGAGTTTTGACTCATGTAATGGCATGTCTAATCTGTTCAGACTTCTAAACAGAATATCATAGATTAGGAGGTTTACAAACAACAAACATTCACTTCTCCCAGTTCCGGCGGCCAGGAAGTCCAAGGTCAAGGTGCCAGCACATTTGGTGTCCAGAAAGAACCTGCGTGTTCATAGACAGTGCCTTCTTGCTGTGTCCTCACAAAGTAGAAGGAGCAAGGGCGCTGTCTCCAGTCACATTTACAAGGTCACTAATCCCATTCATGAGGGCTCCACCCTCATGACCTAATCACTTCCCAGGGGGCCAACTCCAAATAGCATGGTATTGGGAATTGGCTCCCAGCACGTGGACTTTGGGAAGACAGCATGTGGTGTACAGCACAGCATGTATCCAGCATGACAGCAGCATCCAGCATAACAACAGCATCCAGCATAACAATAGCATCCAGAATGACATTGCTCTAATAATTCCCGGTGCTCTATGAGCTCAACTCTTCCTTCCCCTCAGCCCCTGGCAAACACTGATCCTTTTACTCTATCCACAGTTTTGCCTTTTCCAGAAAATTGTATAGATGGAAACAGACAACGTGTAGCCTTCTTAGTTTAACATTTTTACTTAGTAATATGAATTGAAGGTGGTGCTAAGATTTTTCAGTTAAAAACAAGAGAACATTGAATACTGTTCATTTGTACAGAATTATATGAAAAAACATTGCCTATAATAATTAGTAACTCCATGGGTGACATCCAGATATAAATGCATTGATATTAAAATTTTAGGAAAATTCCTTAACTTCTCAAAGAGAAGAGAGAATATAGAAGAATACTTTCGATTCAAAATATAAACATAGTACATCTTCCAAGAGTAATCATTTTATTTGAAATGAGGACTGGAGGAAGCTTTTATATTAAAAAGCATCTATATACAGAACTTTCGTTAGATAAAACAAGAGACTTAAAGGAAATGTTGAACTTACAGAGAAGTGCTTTTGGCTACGAGCCTACTTAGACTCCCATAGGGGTGCAAATTCATATTCCTCTTGCATTCGAAATATTTCAGTGGAAAATTTGAGAAGTGATTCAGGGGAGATTTAATTTCCCATTGGGAATAATATGAACTCTACAAAACATACAAATGTGATTAGAGAACATGTGGTTAGAGAACATGCCTTTTCCTAATCTCAGAAACAGCATTCTCATAAGGGGCACCACAGTCATAAAAATGACACTTTCAAATTAAAGAGAAACATTTCAATGGTTGGATAGTATCTTAGATCAGGTTCCCAGGGAAGTAGACTCTGAGGCAAAGATTCCCATGTAGAAGGGTTATTGGAAAACCTCCCAGGAACGAGCCCTATGAAGTGAAGGAAGCCGGACTGGTCAGGGAGACAGAGGGTTGAGCTGTGATGCAGGTGCAAGAGGGGGGCCCCAGTGGGTGCCGTGGGGAACCCTAGAGCTGCATTGACCCTCCTAGATGTCCCGAATTGAGGCATATGGGTTGTCATCTTAGCCACCATTATCCAGTCAATGAATGGAGCCGGTCCTGTGAGGCGGTGTAAATTTAGAGGGAAACACCTGGAGCTGAACTCAGCTGGGAGTCGTCATCTGGTAATGTCCTGGCAGTTGAGGGAATGGACACCTTAATCATCACGGAGGACAGGACCCCCTATAGAAAGTACAAACCAGCTTTCTTGTAACGAAGGGCATAGTGAGTTGTGAGTACCTTCTGATATACATGGCTCTAAAATTTGATGGCATTGCTACCTCAAAATCAAAGATAACTTTGTATTTGCATATCTAATATAAGGAAAAAATATAAAGGAGCCCACACATTTGAAATAGAGTGAGAAGCATAAGGTCTTAATTTGGCTAAGTGATAGCAATGTTACTGAAATAGGTTCTAGATTTTTATCACATGCAAAAGGTTTATTCAACTTTTTAAACCTTTGGTGAGTTCATAAAGATAAATGTTGAGTGCATAAAATATTTTAGAAAAAATAAAATTAAGGATGCCTGTCCTTCCTTAAATGTAAGAATAATCTAACAAAAAGAATTAAGATAAACTATTTATTTGGCCATGGTTAAGTATCAAAAGACCATACATACACACACACACACACACACACACACACACACACACACACATACTTTCTACATTTGAATTTAGAATGCTGACATTGGAACACTGCAATTTTTTATGCTACTATGTTCTTAGACAGTTAGTTAAAACATGCTACTAATGTCTCAAAGTATTTACTCCTCCCCTAATTGTTTTGTTTTGTTTTGTTTTTAGTTCTCACCCAAGGATATTTTTACATTTATCTTCAGATAGAGTATGAGGGAAAGAGAAGAGAGAGAGAGAGAGAGAGAGAGAGAGACATGGATGTGAGAGAGACACATTGACTGGCTGCCTCCGATACAACCCTGACCAGGGATGGACCAAATTGCAACCAAGGTACATGCCCTCGACCAAACTGAACCTGCAACTCTTTGGTCCACAGGCCAGCACTCTAACTGCAGAGCCAAACCGCCAGGGCTACTCTTCCCCAACTTAATATACTGGTTTCCATGAATAAAGACTCCCTAAGACACCACATAGATCTCAGATACATAGAATTTGATCACAGAGTTTGAGACTAAATATATTCTGACTATATCACCACTACCGAGTGAGTGGAGAGGGAGAGGAACTTTCCAATTTCATTTTTAAAATGAATTCACAATACCACCTTTATATATAAAATAAATTATTCTTATAAAATTTGTAAATAAATGTTTAAAACATAAAGAACACAAAATAAACTACTTCTAAACTGCTCCCTACTACTATTTCTTTCACTTAATATACTGATGACCCCATCAACAATGGCCTCAGAGACAATATGAAGAATAAGAACAGTTCCACTAAAATCCCAGCAAGTTAATACAGCCTTGTATATTTAGTTCCACTGATATTTCAGAAAATTAGTGCAGCCCTATATAATCATGCACATCCTCTGACCTCTAGGGGATGTATGTAAATATACAGGACTCTGCTCACCCTTTAAGTTTTCACTTGGAGTTGACTTAAACCTATGCTACATTGTAATTTCACATGATAAAAGTTTATCAACTGGCCTGGCCGGTGTGGCTCAGTGGTTGAGTGTAGACCCATGCACTAAGAGGTCGCTGGTTCAGTTCCCAGTCAGAGCACATGCCTGGGTTGTGGGTTAAATCCTCAGTGGGGGGCATGCAGGAGGCGGCCAATCAATGTTCTCTCTCATCGATGTTTCTATCTCTCTCTCTCCCTCTCCCTTCTTCTCTCTAATATCAATAAAGAAAAAAGGTTTAAAAAAAAGTTTATCAACTGGCATTGTATCTTTGGACACTCATGTTTTATGGACCTCCGTATCCTCATCCATAAAAATGATTGGGTTTGAACCATGCAATCCTCAAGATTCCTGCTAGTGCAGTACCCTGGCTTGAACTATGATTTCACCTGCCCTTGGATTATGGCAGCACTTGGCCCTTGAGCTGAACTCAAAACCAATGCAGACCTCTACTTCTGTGACGCAACACTGACCATGGTCATAGGAGCCAAATTCCTCAAGTGGAGGCCACTGAGAGACAGTTAATAAACTTTATACTGATATAATAACAGTTCCCTTCAGTTCCAAAATTGCTATTGCAATTTTCCAAAATACCTAACTTACTTGTGTAAAAGTATCTTTACTCTCAAGGAAAATCTGATTTAGTGATCAAATTTCAGGATCACAAATCTAAATTTTCTCTTTAATTTGAAAGTGTCACTTATATGACAATGATACCCCTTATAAGAATGTTGTCTGAGATTAAGAAAAAGCGTTTTCTCTAATCATGTTTGTATATAGAGTTCATATTATTCCTAATGGGGAAATAATGTACTTAAATTACCGAAGTGTTTCGTGTTTCTCTAAGAATAAATACGTCCTACAATGTTTGAACACTAGACAGAGACATAACTCTCCTAATGCCAACATTGACTTGACATGCTCTCTTTTTAGGTCCTGTCCCAACACAGCCACCGCCTTGTGAAGCTGATCAGTTTTCTTGTGTCTACACGCTCCAGTGTGTCCCTCTCTCGGGAAGATGTAACGGACAGGAGGATTGCTCGGATGGGTCGGATGAAATGGATTGCTCTCTCAGCCCCCCTCCTCAGCTCTGCGGTGAAACAGAGTTCCAGTGCTCTCCCCACGAGTGTATTCCATCCCTCCTGCTGTGTGACGGGGTGCCCGACTGCCACTTTAATGAGGATGAATCCAGCTGCTGTGAGTCATTTCACTTACTTAGTGTTCAGGGAAGAAATGCTCTTTGAGGATGATCGAGAGAGCTTGACAGATAAAACAATAATCTCTAGAGTTATACCATGACCGTGTCATCAATAACATAGTTGTTTGGGTTGTGTTGCTAGACAAAGCGTGTAGCCCTTGCTTAGCATTTCTAGAAGCATTCTGTTTGTACAGTCCCAGTAATCTCTGTTAAACTCATCTGATTTCCGTTCTTACTTACATCTCAGTCATTCATACGGGCATGGTCGTAGGTATTGCTCATCTTTTTAACAAATGTTTGTGGACATGGATTGAAGACATGTAATTATCATTTCTTCCCACCGTACATGTTCATGAAGATGATTAAGCAAAGCACTATGGGAAAAAGCACTAAGGGCTGGACCTGGACAACTAAAAGTTCATGTACACCCTGATGACATAGGTTTGAATCTCTTCCTTGTCACTACCTGCACAATTTGGGGAAAGTTATTTGAGTCAGCCTCATCATCCATATAAAACCTACCTTACAGGGCTCTGAGGATTTGAGAGAACACAGGTAAAATCCCCAGCCCTTTTATTTAGCATCTTCTACTTTTATTATAAATAGCCTATTTCAGATTGGGAAGGAAGAGTTTTAGTTAAGAAATTACACAAAACTTTAAGGTGAGTATATATATTCATGGTCGGATCAAAGCGCCATGAATATTCTATGTAATGATTTGTTTATTTGCTTGGTTTTATATTATATTAAAACTATACTATATTTTTGGCAAGGGTTGCAGTGATAGAGCTCCATAAACCTTATGTTAGTGACTACATTTTTTTTTTTTAAATAGTAAAAAGCAGTTTGTAATGTAACCATAAGAGGGGAACACTGAAAGAAATATAAGGCAATGTCAGTGCCCTGTTTAGTGTGGGCATCTGGAATTACGGTGACTATTGGAATAGGTGTAAAGATGAAAGAAGGAAAAGGGAACAGGCTTTGGATGTTTAAAGGTTTCAGCCTTAACTCTAAAATAAAATAAAAAATGTTTTAAGCTTTCAGTCTTAAATCAGTGAACTTCATTTTCTGGCTTAGGCTTAGAGGTTGGTGTTCTAGCTTCCTGTTATTAAATACAGGTATATTCTTTCTGTAATAAAGCCAACTTGTCAAGTCTTGTAATGTTCTCTTAGAGGCAAGGTATACACATGGAAGTGAATACAAAAATAAATAAAAAAAATCCTGACAAATTATTTATCCCTGTTCCCAATAGGGCTTTAATGTTATTTGGCTGATAGAAACCATACTAAGTTCAATGTAATCATGTGATATTTGACTTAAAATAACAATGCTATTTAAAGAGAAGCCTAGGAAAGTACTATATCCTTATAGTTTTAGACATTTGTTGAAAATTGGTATTTGATGAGGTAGCAATATATGAAGTTCTGCTCCTAAAGGGAAATCAGCCCACATTAGGAATAGACTGCTCTCCTGAGAGAATTGCTTCTATCCATCTCTAAAATATTTAAGAGTTCTAACTCGGCAGGGTAAATTGTGTGAAAATGAACAATGGACAAAATTCTAGAGCAGAATTACAGAATAAAAGTATCTAATGATGGCAATTTACCAAAAGAAATTGGAAGGTATAATAGTTTTTATCTGGGCTTACCCACTGTTTTAGGGTGGTGTTTTGTAAACTCACATTCATTCATTCATTTGTTCACACAGCTTCAACAGCAACACAATTTATGCCACATATTCCATTGGGCATTGATGATATAGATAGATATCGCATTGTACCAGCTCACTTCATAATTACATCATATATTACTGAAGATTAGTAAGTGATAGAGGAGATGTGATCATTTCTGTGACAGAGATAAACACAGGGGTATTGAATACATAGTCTACTCTCTAACTATGGAGCTAGGGAATCTGTAAACATTATAAAGAGCCAAATTTGGAAAGACAAGTAGTCATTAGGCAAATAGAGATGCTTAATTCCAGTGAAGAATGTTCCAAGAATAGAGAAAAAGTTTTTTTAAGCATATTTTGTATAACTAGAGTAGTTTGTTATACAGCGGACTAAACTGAGAAATGTAGAAATAAGTCTGGAGAAGTAAGCCAGGACTCAGTCTTGAAGAGGCCTCCCAGGAGTAGTACACAGAATGGATTACAGTGAGGAAGGAGGACTGGTTAGGAGATGTTTGTAGTTGAAATATAAAGGGATTGATTAACTAATGGCATGAGGTAAAGATAGGAAAAGATTTAAGAGACATTCAGGTGAAGAGGAAGAGAAAATAATCAAGAACAGTTTCCAAGTTTCTGATTTGGGCAACAGGACAGCTAATCTGCCATTTCTTGAGCCGGGGAAAATAGGAAGAGAATGACCATGTAGGGTAAAATTGTGGCTTTCTTTTTAAACATGTTGTATTTGTTATATTTGTGGCACATTCATATAGAAATGTCCAGAACGTGTTTAGAAATGAATATCTGGAGTTAAGGAAAGAGACAAAGGAAGATATATAAAGATTCATGTCCATCAGCATATAATGATTAAATCTGTGGATGTAGATGAGATAATAAAGAGTAAAAAGAGAAGGTGGCAGACAGAATCCTAAGGAACACCTAAAAGACAGTTAAAAAACCAAACATTGAAAAATATTGAGATGTGGGCATAGACCCCTCAAAACAACAAAAAGAGATTGATGATCTTAAACGTAAAAAGCCTTCCTTATCAGAGAGTGTTCACAGGTTGGAATGTTTGGGAGAGTTCAGTCCCCAAAAAATATAGGTGAGGAAAAGCAAAAGGTGGTTTCTGGTGATCTTGGAGAGAGTACTTGCTTTAGAACGGGAAGGAAGAATTCTGAAGCCAATCTTTTGTAGAGGAAATGGAAAATGGCAAAGAGAAGTCAATTATAGACTCTCTTTCAAGAAGATGTAATTTAAGGGGATGTAGGACAAAATAAGAGGTTTGTTTGGTATGTTTCTTTTGAGAGTCTTACACATGTCTAAGTACTGTAGGAATAGGATTCTGAGATGTGTACAATTTTAAGCAGGAAAATCAATAGCAATTGATATTTGAAGGCCTTCTATTCTTGCAAAATAAACAGTATAGCGGTCAGACTATTTAAACAAATCTGTGATGAGTTCAACATTTAATAATTTGTATTTAATATTGTCTTTCTGTTGTAAGTATGTTGTTTTAACAAACTGTTGTAATACTTATTTTACCAAAAATACCCCTGTTCCCTAAAAAACATTTTTTAAAAAAATTATGGTTTCATTTTATGGGAAAACAACACAAAACTAGGAACATTTTCACTGATAGCAATCTATTTACCCAGATTTCAAGAATTCATGAGATGTTATATTAGTGACTATTATGTCAAGAAATAGATGGTACACTGACACTGTATAATTTGAGAATATTTTAATTATGGGATTATTTATTTAACAGTATGCATAGGACAGAAAGAATAGGGGCTTTTATCACCGATAGACCGAAGAGCACAAGAGGGGGGAGCAGTTGTATGAACCTGGAATCAAAGAGGTCCATTAAGAAAAGTTGTAATATTTGGTTAAAAATTGATCTCACGGTCCCTTTCCTTGTACTAATCTCCTGCTGGTGCTACCTAACGGCCAAACCTAATCAAAGAGCAAAGGAGTCTGTTCATATGTCCTTAGAGTTTAGCCCCTCAGACCTAGAGCAGGGAGAGAAGGTAGAGAATGTAAGTATGACTCAGAGGGGTCAATGGGACCTGTCCGTCTGTGATGGACACAGTGAAAAACAGGGAAGTGGATAATTACCTACTTTTTAAATGTAATTGATGCCAGTAGTAGTTGGTATGTCCAATGAAGTTGAGAGCCACTTACTGAACACTTGGAATGGATCATGTTCCTAAGATTTTTAAATCAACATTTATTATCAGTATTTTTATTATCAACTTTTAAATATGTTCCTTATGATCTCAACATCCTATGGTGCTTCTCAGTGACAGTGTGGAGAGCATCTTCTGCGTGTGACATCTTCCCTTCTTACAAAAGCATTCCTTAGTTTATTCAACATTAAAATTATGGTGACTAAGTCTATTTTACAGAGATATTGGAGGATTAAATGAATTCATATGCTAAAGTGCATAATACACACATAATAAATGATTATTATCCTTTTCTCATTTAATCGTTTTTACAGTTTTGTTTAAAATTGTTTAAACTGCTAAGGTATTTTAATAGAAGTGGTAGTTGAGTTTAATTCCCGGAGAAAGTAAATATCCACCCTGCAATGTGATAGGTTTACTTGTGCCTTCAAGGGTGGAAGTCCCTTGTCCTCGTGGCCCAAAGACCATGGTTATCCTGCTGCTAGAGAGGTCTGTCTGCTGCATGCATGAATTTCATTTTGGTAGTGAATAGATACACATCCATACACATCATACATGCTTTACTTTCGTTTTATTTTCTATGTAGCTATTATAGTCTGTAAAAGGAATTTAGCTTTAGGGAAGTAACTCCAGTGAAACATTCACACATTGTTTATCTTTAAGGTAGCATTTATCTGAGTGAATGAGCCACACCGTGCTCTGCGTTACTTAGCCCATTAGGGAAGAAAGAGGAACAATCTCTAGGATAACGACAGACTGAAATAAGGATTTTATAGACATGAAACCATAACATTTAAAAGTGAATGTGGCAAAAGTAGATATTGTCAAGGGAAATGTTTTAAAATCTCAGTTTCCTATACATTTTATATGTATACATAACCCATAGTCACAGACAACAGTTTAGTGGTGACTGAGGGGAGAGGGTGGCAAGGGCTGAGTGGAGGTGACAAAGTGGGGGGGGGGCAGGAATGGGGACATCTGTAACAATACAAATAAAGTTAAAAAATAATAAATTTTAGCCCTGGTAGGTTTGGCTCAGCAGTTGGAGTATTGGTCTGCGGACCAGAGAGTCCCGGGTTCAGTTCCTGCTAGGGGCACGTACCAAAAAATAAAACATAAAAATAAAATAAATTTTATATGTAGCTTATTTGGACTAATTTTGGAATTTCCTTTGCTGTAAATGTGTTAATAACAGAAGAGAAAAGGAGAGTAATGGTTCAATGTGTTGTCCTATGTTTGGTACAATGTCCTTTGCTGTATACATGTCAAAAATATTAATTGCATTCATAATTGATTTGCCACCTAAATTTAAAAGGAAATTGATAAACACCCATTAACTTTAATGTTACACTATTTAAAATGCCATGCCACAGAAACTATTATTTTAGTTTTCAATTTCATAAAGTAAAAGGTCAAATTTTAATTATCTAAATTGAAAATTTTCTATGAAGTGGAAAAAGGAAAACTTTTAAAAAATTAAAACCATGTATTGTCTTATATCGATATAGTTTTGTGTCTATTAATGCTCTTTGGGCCATGCTGAGAATTTGTACCACGTGTAAGTTACAGATGTCCACTGTCCCGCCAGCCGGAAAAGAAGCTGTCAGCCCCCCTGCAGACTGGGAGAGGGAATCTGGAGTTTGTACTTCTGAGGGCAGGGCTCCGAATAATGCTTTACAAGTAGATGAGCAGTATCCAATATCTTTGTATACAAATGTCAACATGTTATATTATTTAAAACTATCATCTTCTATTATCTCTCAGCCCCTTGCAATGCAAAACAGTGATAACAAAAATATTCATCTATACACACATACTCACACATGTGGATATTTAGATGCACACAGATATATACACATTATTTTACAAATATCTCTTCATCTTATAAGAGTTAAAAATTGTGCTGTTTTCCAGTTTGCAATATGACTTATCTTGTCAATTTATATCGTAAAATCTTTTAACCCTTTGGAAAAGATTACAGACTATCTTTTGTCTCGGGACCTTAGCCATTGCTACCATCTGGTTTCAGCCTTGTTTTTTGGTTTGTCTGCATCGCCTTCTTACACAAATTCCCCAGTCCAAGGCAAACTGTTTACTGACTGTACCAATATCAAATTTATTGATTCTCAGTCTCTATAGATTCATTCTGACTCTACTAAATGGCTTTTCTCTGGCAACATTAAAATTTAAAAAACGTCTCAAGACTCTAGTCTTTCAATCTGTATAGACCTCCCTACACTAAAGGAATTTCTTGCTTTTATAATGCTTATCTATACCAATGCTTTGCCAACAAAGTCTGGCTTCATGGCATTTCTTTTATTATTATTTTGAACTGCTGATCACCCTTGCATTGTTATCTTGCTTTTGTTGCTTTATATGTTCTGATCACCTTATTTATTTATTTATTTATTTATTTATTTACTTATTTATTTTTTAAATTATTTTTTAATTTATTTATTTATTTTTGTTACAGAAGTTTCTCCTTTTACCCCCACTGATTCCCTCCTCACCCTGTCCCAGCTTTGTTGTCCATATCCATTGTTCATGCACACATGCATATAAGTTATGTGGTTTATCTCTCCCCCACCAACCCCTCTACTGGAGATTGTCAGTCCATACCCTACTTCCAATTCTCTGGGACTACCCCATTGCTCAGACTGTTATGTTCATTATATTCCACAAATAAGTGAGATCATATGATACTTGTCTTTCTCTGTTTGGCTTGTTTTGCTTAGGATAATACTTTCCAGGTCCCTCCATGTCGTCTCAAAGGATAAGAGATCTTTCCTTCTTACAGGTGCACAGTACTCCATTGTGTATATGTACCACAGATTTTTTATCCATTTATCTACTGATGGACATTTGGGTTGTTTCCAGATCTTAGGTATTGTAAATAGTGCTGCTATGAATATGGGGGTACATATATTCTTTCTGATTGGTGTTTTAGGCTTCTTAGGGTATATTCCTAGAAGTGGGATCACTGGGTGAAATGGCAGTTCAATTTTTTATTTTTGGACTGAACTCTTTTTTTAAAAAATGTCCCTCCTGTACTCTTCAGTTGAAGTTCTAAGCATAGTGTTTTACATGTAGTGACATTGTAATAATATTTATTGTGGTTCAAATGATGTTCTAGCACCTCAGGAAGGGTTGCTAAATGAAGAGTGTCACTTTAATTGTTTAGAGCCAGCATTTTAATCAATAGAAATACATACTCTTAAAAACATAATTTTTAGGTCCAACTTGAAAATAAATTTTGATAGGCAATTCTCAAACTAAACTGTGCCAATATTCTATGATAACTCAAATAAACATATCCTTCCAGCCCATAAATATACTGACACAATCTGTGCAAGAACCATAATGGGGGTCTCTATTCCTGTGTCTTCTAAACTATCCACTAAGCTTGAGAAGTTTGAACTTAGTTGTCTTTATTGTAGTAGAAGCAACTTCCCAGATCAATCCTTTTAAAATTTTTAGCAGCATGTTTGGATTAAAATGTTTAAATAAGATGTTGTATGTGATACCATTAAGTGTGTCAAAGAAAAGCAGAGCTATTCTTGTTGAACTCAGATGAAGCCCCAGAAAGCCCTGGCTATTCATTGCCATCCTCCACACTATATCTGCAAAACGCTATGACTCCAAGGAACGGGGTTCGAGAAGCAGTGTAGACTAACACAATTTTATTCAGTGCTTTCTGAATGCACTCAGTATTTCGGAGAAGGTAGTGTGGTGGGTTCATGCTTTGACATGCTCCCTCTGTTCCAGTCACACAGCCATGCTAGACAGAAGAGCCCGCTCATGCAAGGGCTCGGAGACATTAAATACCGACATGACATGGAACAAAATGGAGGTAGACCCAGGCCTGCTGGTTTCCAGGGTTTCAAGCAATCAGAAGAATAGAGACACATGCTGACAGCCTGAAATGAAAAGATCTGGTCCAGCCCTAACTCATAAAAGGAGTCTAAAGCATAGCCTACTGCTTTTGGGCTGTGTCATCATTGTAAAGAGACTGGGAAGGAGGTGGAGGGACACAAATATACGGTTTAAGGACGAAGGGAGCATCCAAGGGAAGTCCAGTACTTTGTAGGACTAGCCTGCCATTGAACTGTCTGTGCCCTTGCCAGGCATTAATAAACACATTTTTCTGAAATCATCAAAGTCTTATGAGTAAGACATATGCTTGTTTCCTGAAATCAGGCTAAGAAGAGACTCTGGGACTTGTGAAATGCCTACATCATGCACTAACACAATGCTATAAAGTCACACAGTCATAGTACATTGAGCTGCAGTGACCTACATCATCACCCAGATCTAACGGGCACCTAGCCACTGCTCATGACTTATAATTCAGTTGGAAATTGATGAGCATTCAAGCGAGTTACAGTACCGATCAGTTCAATTACATGCAACATCAGGGACATTAGAGGAGCAACAGAGATCTTTTTTGCCGTAAATTTGCCTCTAGTCTACAGTCAATTCAGACTACATGGTACATCCAATGCACTTTGTACAAACATAATGCAGAATTAAAAATGATTCCATCAACACACTTCTTTTTTAAGAGATTGTCAATTTGTTAAATGTAATTGGACTAGATAATTGAGGGCTAATACAATCAACGTATTATTTCCTTAGAAAACATTCATAACAACAGTGATGACGGTGGTTGTTTTCTTCCAGCCGATGTCAGCTGCTCTGAGGGAGCTCTGCTGTGCCCCTCCTTCAACAGCTGCATCCCAGTTCACAAGCGCTGTGATGGTTTTGCCAACTGCATGGACTTCCAACTTGATGAGTCCAGCTGCTCAGGTACTCCATTTCTATTCAAATCTTCCTTACAATATAGCACATAAATTTAACCTGAAGACAATAATAATATTAAAATCTGAAATGCAAATAATAGCAAGCATGGAATAATTGCTTTGTTAATGTTGGTTTGGGGAAGAATGTTGACATTTAAATATTACAAACATAGACTATAATCAACTCATGCTTATTCTATAGAAGCAATGCTCAGATATAAAATACTTAATTTTAACTTGCTATAATATAATTTAAGATTATTAGTATTTAATAATCTGATATGAATTGTGTGGTTTATATAACACGCAAACACTGCACAATTTCATGTTATCAGTTATTTAAAGTGTGTCGTTTGCTTCCGCTTCTTCACAAGAGCTCACTATTTGCATGATACAATCTTGTTTAAAAGTTAATTTATTAAACTTCAGGCTGACTTTTAGACATTTTTCTTTTTTATGACCCTGGAACATTTGTAAGAGCTGATAATGCATAATTGCAGTTATACTTTTATCAAAACTGCTTTAATATGCTCTAATTTATTGTAGTCCATTGTTAACATCTCTCCTGAGTAACTGACTTTTTTTTTCATGCAGGAGAATAAATAAAATAAGAAATAGTTAGGGGCAATATAAATCTGCCACCACTAAAAGATAATATAAAGTGGTGATAAGAGTTGTATCAATTGTATTTTCTAAATAAATTGCAGATATTTCATATTAAAGCTGAATTCTTTGTATCTTTGTAAGACTATATTCTTTGTATCTTTCAAGAAAGACCGTTATAAGTGACAACAGCATGATCATTATAATCAAATCACAGTGTATGAATCTTTTATTATGCTGCTGAAAATGAATACTCACACAAAACTGAGTTTTATGAATACAAAAGGAAATCAAGAAGTGAACAAATCTGGTCCCATAAAATGGGCAAAGATAAATGCTCTTTGCCATTATTTCTCTGCTAGGCATTCATGTACATCAGATTAGACACCCAAAAGTAAGTCATCTTGTTCTCTTTTCAGAGAGTTAGAAAGATATTAATGAGGTAGTTCCAATCTTTGAAACTATTAAGATACAGTACTTATGTCCAATACCCAAATTTCTTTACATAAAGGTGAGATTTTCTTGAGGATGGTTTTATATGAGAACAAACATATTATTACATGCTATGGTTTATTGTCTGCTTTGACGTGTTCTTTCTTTTAAAATATGTTCAGAAAAACAGAAGTCGTGCCATTCATACTGAATGACAGATGCCCTGTGGGTAATACAGTAGAATATATTTTGGTGGTCCATCTATCTCAATCTCTCACCAATTCACTTACAGTTCATTTAAATATATTGGTCATATTGCCACAGATTTTGGATTAAAGTAAAATAAAGAACTAGCCAAACAGTTTTTAGAAATAAAATCTATATTATATTATGTGTTCTCTCTATTTCATTTGATCTTAGTTTGTCAATCAAATATAATAAAGTCAATGCTTACATTTTTGAATGACCCCTTTAACGCTAACCCACACTAAGGTATGTCAGAGCACATTACACCTTCCTGTTTCTTCCAAGCATCGTATTCCTTTAAGGTCAGCATTTCATAGGCTTTTATGAGCCCAGTCCTTACAGCATGCAAAAATCCTCCCAGTGGTCACACAACAGATGGTGAGCAGCTGATCGCCCTCCACCTGGAGGTTTGCGTCATTAACAGGAACGTCAAGCTCAGGCCATGGATGGGTGTTGCAGGCTAAGTATTTCCCTCTTCCCAGGTTTCACGAGAAAGACATATTATTTTCAAGTGTGGCTGCTTATACAGCAGAAAATCACTGAACAGAATTTTTCTGGCCTAATTTAAGTTGAAAGTCATTTTCCAGTCGTTTGCAGTAGCAAAGGTAAATAAAAGTTATGCAATGGTGATGTTATAATTATGATAATCAGCAATTTGAAGGAAAATTAGGAAAAGGCACAAAAATATAAATTTATAGGATAGACTATAATGATTATAATTTAATAAATAAATAACAGCAACAATAATAATCATACAGCTAAATAACACTTCAGAAGGTTTTCTTAAAAAACAAATGAAAATGAAACATAGACTTCTCTTGCAAGTACTGTGGAGCTATTTCAAGTTTCTTAGCAGCAGTTCATCTCTGCAGTCCCTGTGCTGGGATTTCGGGATGAAGAGAGTGCACCTGGGACCTTAGTTTGCGGCACAGGTGCACTCCGAGAATCCAGACAGGGCCTGGAACGCCCTGCCCTTTGCTGTGCATGTGGATCTGTAATTCACGGCAGTGCGTCAACACCGACGATTCAAAGGGGTTCACGATCCCGTAATATCAAGGATCACAAGGGGTTTTAGCAATTCTGAACTGAATAGCAGATCATATGACACCTTTAAATTGACGGGCTTTGGAGTAAGAGGACCAGACTTTCGCTCAGTATCTGCTGCTTCCTTGCTGTTAACGTGACCATTACCTAGTAACCAGTTTCCTGCTCCGTAAGAAAGGATAAGTATGGGATGTACCACATAATGCTGTGCGGATTAAATGAGGTAACGCGGTAAAGCCCTCAGGACAGAGGATGACACAGAGCAGCTCTGCAGTGAATGGCCGTGGTGCTGGCGATCATGATAAAAGGGGAAAAGGAAAGGAAGATGAGAAGTTGGACAGTGCAACGGTAACGGAAATTCGATTTCATGGCAATTTCAAAGAATGCCTCCAAATAGAGGGATAGATGAGAACAATTATTTTTAAATGTATGCATACCGTTGACTAGTGTAGAGATGTTATAAATGCATTTTATTTACTCTCCTGGCAGCCCTATAAGAAAAGTGATATAATCCCCACTTTAAACATGAAGAAACTTATCCCTAGAGTACCTAGCCCAAAGTCACACAACTTACTGTCACGGAAGGAAAACCAGGACTCACGTGATTCTAAGTCTTTCTAACAATCCACCTGGTAATGGCTGTCACTTCACTTCCTTAGTCTCTGTACACACAGAGAAACAACAGCAACAACAAAGATAGATGCCTAGTTACAAATTATTTACAATTTAAGCTGATAAGCTACTTTTGCTTTTATGTTGATCACGCATCCAGTTTATAGCTATTCCTGCTTTTCCAAAGTGATACACCACAGTGGGATTGAACTTGAATTCTTCCAACAATGATCCTCTATAAAGTCAGTACTGAGTAGTATTGACCTCCAGATACATGGTCATAATAACCAATGCAAGAGGTTACAGGCAGTGAAATATCAATGTGGCTAAAGGGCCCAGGAACCTGTGCGAAGTCTGAAATCAACCCCGTAGATTCCTAGTTCCCATCTGTAGAATTATCTACTTCTCTACTGGAGAGAAAGTTAGTCTCTTCATTACTCACTAGTCATATCCACCCCTTCTCCATTCCTTCTGCCCTCTGCTCTACACTGTTTTGAGTAAATTAAAGATGAAAACACTGTGTAGTGTGCCTTTCCATTTTATGAGTAAAGGACCTGGCTCAAAGGCAGAGACTTATAAGAACTCATTAGAAAGCATCTACAAATCTTCTGTTCTCCAAAATACCAGGATTCACTTCTTGTTCTGGCCAGTACCACTCTTCATTCCCCAAAGCTCCATTATGCAATGCAAGAGAGTATGTATCTAGGTTCCCCTGAATTCATTCTGCTGTAAACCCAGCCTAGGTGCTACTCACTACGACCTAGGTAATTATTAATGATCGTGGGGGGAAAAAAAGTGCATCTGTGTGTATTTTGATACTTTGTAGTATCAGACCCTCTATTGGTGTTTTACTAAAACAAAACTCTTATTTAAGGAAGACCATCATGGTACTTCACAACACAAATAATCATAAAATGGTTAATCTAGAAAGGATTGTATCTATTTATGCTTTTAAGTCTGCCAGCTAATTTCTTGTTTATGAAGGAAATCTTACGTCTGTTCTACTCAGTTGAGCTGCCCCTGGTGGGCGAGGAATAAAACCCTTTACTCTTCAGCACTCTGCTCCCTATTGTACTTAGTTAGTTAGGGAGTAAGGTCGGTGAGATGGGGAATGTACTCCTGGAAAAGCAAATCCCATTTCCTGATCCAGGGAAGAAGAAAGTCTTCTCTTCTGGGCCACCACTCGGGCTTGTGAAGAGAATGAACACATCCCGAGCGTCAGGGGTACTGAGGAAGTTGGAGACCACAGGAAAACAGCCTAGGAGAATTCCTGTACTTTTAGCAACTAGAAAGCAATTTACTCTCGGTGATTAGGTTTAATGCAATAACTAACAGGGATATGACCATCTTCTTCCTAATAATATTTCTAATTAACTGTGGCTTTCTGTGATGCTTCTTTTTAGAGTGTCCAATAGCTTATTGCAGAAATGCTGGGACCTGTGTGGTGGAGAAAAATGGTCCTATGTGTCGGTAAGGAGCGTTGTCTATTTTTTTTTAACATTTATTGCAGTGGTTTACTTGTTTTTCTTGAGGTTCCTCTATTAAAGCATCAGTGAATATGTGGTTATTAAGGTAAAAATGGTGGATAATGGCATTATTTACATGTATCTGTCTGAATAAAAGAAAGGAAGATGTAAGTGCATTTTAGAAAAATATCAATAATTTAACATGATTTTATGTCATTCGGAATTTTATATTGTATGGAGTATATAGTTTTAAAAATATTCATTACTCCTAGTTTTTAAATATTTATATCAGGTTATTGAAAGATTTGTATGTGGATATCATCCTATTTTAGGTTAATTTAGTGTCTGTGTTTTTCTTTCTCCTTTTTATTTCAAATATCATATTTTTTCTAACAACAAAGGATAAAATTAATGCATAAATAAGACCTATTTCTGGTTTATGCAGTAGATGTTTATGAACAGCTAAAGTTAAAGTACAGATAAGGAATACATTTGCATGTTTATTTTTTAAAGCAAAAATAAATAAAAACAGGCCTTGTGATTTCTTTTGGGAATTATTTATATTGTATATCAAAGATTACTTGATTTTTTTCCCTCTTAGCCTTTAGGGAATTGTGCAAAACTTCATAAATTCCAAAGGAAATGGTGCATATTCCATTATATTTGCATCTATAATTTTTTTAATCTAGCAGACCAAAGGACATATTACTTTGCTTATTAGCAAATTGATTGCAGGTTGATACTCAAGTCATAGGAAACATACAGAAGTATCTAGAAAATACTAATTAATACTTGCTTAAATCTCTATATCCCTCTGATCAATACTCATATTTTAGGAAATGCTCTCTGCCCATGGGAAAAAAAACAACAAAAAACTCTATGCATCAAAACAACAACAAAAAGCTTTATGATGACATATATTTAGACACTGTTTTAACATTGTTAAAACTGAATTATTAATGGGTTTCTCAAAGTGTTTTATCTCTCAAAGTCATTATCTAATTTATTTCACATCTCAACAAAATTATGTTCTCCCCTGTTTCAGTTTTCATGGAAATTAATTTGTCATACTCTAACATGATGGAAAGATGAGATGCATACTATTAATTTCTAAAATCCTCTGAGAGAAACTGAAAATGATGCCATCACTGATGTGTATGGAGTGGCAGCCGAGTGCCTACTGTTATTTACATCCCCTGATCACAGGAAGGAAGTTGGAATGCTTGTGCTCTCTAACCCCGAGACAAGAACTCTCCCATTCTAGCGAGTCTCAGCTGAGCAGGCAGAGAGCTTTACACTCTTGGCAACATCCTCACGTACTTAACTAAACTTCAAACACTGAAATCCAAAGGGTGATGTCCGAAACTTATTTCTCTCAAATAAGAAAACTCTAGTATGGGGAGAAGATGCACAGGGAGGATTGAGAGGGGGATGGGCTAAAGAAAAGAAATCAATGCAACAAAATGTAGAAAGGAGTTTACTAACAGGAAAATCGATCAAATATTTTAATATATGAATTTTGATAGTAAATAGTGTTTTTCAAGTACCCCAAATAATTATAATTACCATCAATATGTACAAATGTTTGGAATTAGGGCTATCTACAACATACGTGTGAAAAATAACTTTTGAAAATTGTTTACGTTGTAATACGGTATTTACAATTATGAGCTGCAGTTAATACATATTTATAGAAGTAAATTTTTTAAAAATACCATAATGTAACAGACAAGAAAGAAGTAGAAAGTCCAACATCCAACTCCTACTCTTTAGTAGTATGGTCTATATTTGCTAAGAGATGTGTTTCTCTGCAACAAGCATAGGCACACATACAGGCATACTTTGTTCCTTACAGAAATGTGAATTACACTTCAGGCATCTACTTTGTACCTTGTGGCTTTTTCTCTCTCTCCCTTTTAAAAAAACATTTTTTTTTTTTTATTGAGTTTAGAGAGAGATGAAGGGAGGAGGGGAGAAAGAGAGAGAGAGAGAGAAACATCAATGAGAGAGAACATCGATGGGCTGCCTCCTGCATGCCCCCCACTGGGGATCTGGCCCGTAACCTGGGCACATGCCCGGATCGGGAATCAGACCAGCAACTTCTTGGTGCATGGGTCTCCACTCAACCACTGAGCCACACTGCCCAGGTTGGGGGTTTTCTCCCTTTATGAAATATCATACCATTTTCTACAGTGGTACATATGACTCTATATCCACCATTTACTGGCTGTGTAGTTTTGGGGAAGTCCTTAACCTGCCTGTGTTTCAGCTTTTTCTTCCATAAAATGGAGAAAATCACTCCACCTACCTCATCATGTAGTTGTGAAATTTAAATGGAATAACATATATAAAACACACTACATAGTGCCTAGCACATATAAGGTATTATAGGAATGGTAGCCATCAGTATTATTTTATCATTTTTTTAATGCTGTGTAGTATACATTATTTAATGTATGGGTTTTTCATCATGTATTTAACACCATTTATCCTACTAATGGTTGTTCAGTTCTTAAATATTTGCTTTTGCAAATAATCTTGCGGCATCTACCCTTTGATGTATCCTTGCACAACTCCTTATTTTAAGCATATCATGTCTTACTGAAATGCCAAATAATCATGTAAATTATTTCTAATTGCACACAGTGTCAGATTCATTCCCTAGTAAATTTAGTGTCCAGTTTATCTGTCACATACAGGTATTCATTTTTGGACTTAAAGTTAAATGAAGGCAGCTTTAGAATACAGAGTTTTAAAATTTTTTAAAAATTTAATCCTTACCTGAGAATATGCTTGTTGATTTTTAGAGACAGAGCACGGGAGAGGGAAACATCAATGTGAGAAAGGAACATTGATCGGTCGCCTCAAAACCACGGTATATGCTCAGACCGGGAATCGAACATGCAACTTTTTGGTGTATGGGATGATGCCCCAACCACCTGAGCCACCTGGCCAGGGTTAGAATGCAGAATTTTAGAGTAACTAAAGGTCACTGTGGAAAGTGTTGGCTTTATGTCAGGCCCTTCTCTCTCATTCCTGTGCGGGAATCCATTGTCTTTGTCACCAAGTGAAGTAAGGACAGCAGAGCAAACAAAGCTCACCTCTCATCCAGGTCATTGTGAGCACAAGATTTTGCTGGTTTCCTGAGAAGTCTACCACCAAAGCCTTTGGATTTCCTCCTGGGATCTAAGATACCTTGAGAAAAGACCTTCAGGTTTTACCAGTAATCCCAGAAAGAGAGACTTTGTAAGAAAGTCACGTGGGTCCCTAGGAGTTTCCCATTATCCACATTTCACTAGGTGAACCACATTTTCCTGGTACTTGAGAAACACCAAAGGCTTGGCATGTCCGACGGCTGAAGAAGCAAAGCATAAGCCTGAAGAGGGAAGTTATCCTCAGCTAAGGAGGCTTGATTATTATGTTAGTCCGATATATCAATACGTTTGTTAGAAAAAAATAGACTGAGCTATAAAATATAAATTTCAAGTTAATACACATGGCAGAAAAGAGGTTACAAGAACGAAAAGAAAATCAAGTCAGCAAAGCTAAAAGAAAGAGGAAACAGCATGAAATGAAAAAAAATATATATATATACACAATTGTATGTGTTATTTCCTTATATCCATGAAACACACTGACACTGTAGTCAGGTATTTGACTAAAAGGAAAAACCTAATAAAAGCAGATGTTCGTGCTCAGCCAGTTTATCCAACTGTCATCTAATAAAACAAGAAATAAAAAATACAGAGTGATGACAAAGGGAAAAACAACTGTTGGAATTTTTAAATACCATTTCTAGGAAGCCCTTGTATTAGAAAGGCACTTTAACCTGGAATTAAAAGGCAGGCAATAAAAATGGTAGTTTCTCATGCCCTGGCCAGTTTTGTTCAATGGTTAGCGCATTGGCCCACACACCAAAGGGTCATGGGTTTGATTCCCCATCAAAAATGCATACCTGGGTTACAGGTTCAATTCCCAGCTCTGGTGGGGGTGCGGGCAGGAGGCAACCAATCAATGTGCCTCACATCCATGTTTCTCTTTCTCTCCCTCTCCCTCCCTTCCATTCTCCCTAAAAATCAATGGAAAAAATAGCCTTGGTTGAGGATTAACAACAACAACAAAAGTAATTTCTCATTTCTCACCTTTTCAAAATAGCAGTATATTAGGGTGGATATCTTTTTTCTCTTTACCTGGTTTCTGGGATATCACTGGCCACGTTTTTCATTCTCCTTTTCTGTTTCCTTCTTGTTCTCGTGCTGTTCAAATATCGGAGTGCTCCAGTCTTCATTGTTCGAAATCCTCTTTTCTGCTTACCCGTACCTACTCCATGTTCCCACCTAAACTTGGGTTGATTTATAAACTTTCAATACAATTTATCAGCAGCCCAGACATATCCACTAAACATTACATTCTTAAACTCAGTTGCTAATAAGACCCCAAATTTCATTCAGATTTTATTTCTACATCTAATAGGCACCACACATATGTCATATCCAGAAAGACCTGTTGCCTAGACAGGGAACAAGTTTCTCTTTTTCCAAGCTTTGTACACACTGTTTCTTCTACCTAGAGTTTTCTTTGTCTATCTTGTTTTCCCAGAGAATGTCTTTTAATCTTTTAGATTCCATATGAATGACATTTCCTTTGGGATCCTTTCTCAGACCAGCCAGAGAGAAGGGCTCATTCTTCCGTCCGGGCTCCCCTATGCTTCCGGCATCTTGTTATTTTACAAATAAGAGTTTTATTAAAAAATTTCTTAATTTTTTTTTAAGTTTTATGAAAATCTGCCCCTTCTATCCTACTAAGAAGTGCATTTCCAATAAAATTTTATTCTTCGTGACTTTCAAAATTTGTCTTGCCCTACTTTTACTAGTTTTATTTGTAACTTTTGACAGTTATGGTAATTGAAAATTTTAAAATAAATTATTGTTATGATTTTATTGTAGAAAAATATAACCCAAGGCTTTAAAGGTATAAAATAAGTGAGGATAAAAATATTTTGGA